TAACTAGCCTAAATTAAAAGCTTCACCTTTAATGCAAACCCATTAACCATTGATGGAAACTAACCTGTTGCACTTACTCTGAATTTCAGTTTTACACCTACATTAACCCTTGCTTCCACTAACCCCCTTCCCTTGTACACCATTACTATATTTGCAGTGCTGTATGACTTGCAGGTTTAGTGTGCATTTTTTAATAAAGTATAACGGTTGTTTCCATTCTGGTGTTGGTCATGTTTCTTTCATGGGTAACCCTTGTATGAGAAGGGGCAAAATTAATTTAACATTTAATTTTAAGAGTTTCATTGTAATTCATTTCTTATAAAAAAAAAAATAAGGAAATCCTTAGTCTTACCATTTTGCTTTAATATTTTTCATAACTGTGATTTTATTAATATCCTGCCTGTAGGATCCAATCGATGGTATGAAAGAAGCTTGTGGAAATTCAGGTCATTGTATAGAATTGAATGAGAAGTTATCTACCTGCAATGAAAGAGTCACCTCCCGTACCAAGACAGAAGAGACGTGTAGCGAGGAGCTCTTTGATTACTTGCATTGTGTTGATCATTGTGTAAGTATATTAGTTCTTGTCTGTCAAGAGTTCTGTTGCTTAAGGACTGTCTATTAACCCTTTCAGGGTCCCCAGGCCCTCTCCAAGACTTGTTCTCAGGGTCCCCAAATTTAAAAAAAAAAAAAAATATGAAAATATAGAGAATCTTTTCCCAATCATAATGACACCAAAAGTATGAAATTTGATGGAAAACTTGCGGAATTATGCTCTCACGAAGTTAGCAGTCTCAATGATGTTTACACATCGGAGATTTTGCCCAATTTGAGCCCTATTTTCGGCCAATTCCAGTGTACTAGTCGACAAAAATCATAACTATTTCGCTAGAACTCCATTTTTTCTATCATTCGATAGAAACCACCCATTTACCGATTTCAACTATCCAATAAAGTGGTCAGAATTTAGCAATTTTGCCAATTTCACACAAATTTCAAAAGATGCCAATTTCCTAATAGGGTCCAAAATAAACAAGAAAGATATTCCTGGCACTAAAATAACAAGTTCTCTATTCGTTAGTCACATCCCCAGGCCCCTCTTTATATTTCTTTGGCTTTCCACTTTGAATTTTTATTCTTACAAAAAATAGAAGATTTACTGTTATGCAGACTACTGCATTAGTGTAGAAATGGTATAAATAATTTCAGTGCACTTGTGAAAGAATATTAGACTCACCAGTTAACGTGTATTGGACGCTTGGCATTTGTTTACTTTTGAACTTTGGTAAAAATCAAACATTTCTGCTACTTTGAGCTCAGTTTCAAGGTACTTTTCATTGTAAAACCAGTCAAAATAGTTTACAGCGAAGTTCTGGCAGGCCATATTTGTTTGGTTGAGTGCTGAACTTTGTTTGAGTAGGGAGCTGATCATATACCGATTTTCCACTGTACAGTAGTTTTTTTTTTTTTTTTTTTAGGTTGGGGTTGATATTTAGGGTATTGATGTACTTTTCTTCTTTTTTTTCAGCTTGCAAAAAATTTATTCAAGAAACTCAAGTGAGTGAAGAGCTTTTTTTTATTTAATGTTATATGTGAGTCAAGGGCACTTGTAATACTGAATTTAGGTCATTGCTGCAACAAAAAGGCAATGGTCTTTTTTGTGTCATGCCAGTTTCCTTTAAAGACCAGATGTTTCAGCTCCCCCAAAATTAGCTTTATATGTTTGTAAATAATGGCTGAAAATTTCTTGAAGTATTGTGACTGTATTAAATATAAATAACACTATCTTTTTTTCACATTATTCTCCTAGTCGCTATACCCTGTCTACACAAATCCCAGAGACAGACTTATAATTAATTTGATGACCTAGTGTTGATCTAGGTCTGTGCATATTTAGTGTTAAAATATGTATATCTAGACACCTTCACAGCTCAAGCTGCTAAATAGTATCCCCACAAACAGGGGAGAGTGTTATGATGCTGGTAAAAAGTTCTTGATTCAGTATATTTGAGCTCCCCATTGTAGGATGACACTTATTTTTCCATTCCCCAGGAGCTGTGTGAATTGTATAATAATAAATAGCACTGGGTTATCACTACAGTATTTGTTGTCCTCAACATCTGGAGTGGCTGCATCACATTAGCATGGATTTTTTATAAAATAGTTGCAAGGATATTTTTGAATGTGAATAAAGTTTTTATTTTTGCTCTATATTTAAGGTGGTTTACCTATTAGCACTTCTCAAGCTAGGTTCTTTGATGCTGGCGAGGGGGCACTTCACCTAAGGAATTGTACTTTTGAATTCCTTCTGTGCATCAAACTTGAGTACCTCCCATACCCCCCAGGTGCTGTATGACACTTGCTTTTTAAAGTATGTTCCTTAATGCTGGTGAGGCACCCTTGATTTAAAGAATTGGATCTGTGCTCCAGTTCCTTGAATTGAGCCTGAATACCTTCCATTTCCCCTATGTGTTGCATGAACCCTATGGGGTTTAGCACTCCACCATGCATGTAATGACCCCTATGAGTCTAGCACTTTCCCCATGAATAATAGATTAGAAACAATCTCCCAATGAATTATTAATAATACAGAAGGGCTTCATTTTGCGGCGTTTCGCTAATACAGCAGTTTTCAATTATGCCCATTCTTCATTTATATTTATTCAGACTTCCTACAAAAAACATATTCACTCGCTATAAGCCAAGGACAAAAATATTTTAAGGTAAGTGATGTGTGTGTACTGAACTATATTATTTTTTAGACCTAGTCTTATTGTTCACTTAATTTTTTATTTTTTTTTTCAACAAGTCGGCCTTCTCCCACCAAGGCAGGGTGACCCAAAAAGAAAATACTTAAATCATTCAACACTCACCTCACTCACACATAATCACTGTTTTTGCAGAGGTGCCCAGAATACAACAGCTTAGAAGTATATACGTATAAAAATACACAATACATCCCTCCAAACTGCCAATATCCCAAACCCCTCCTTTAGAGTGCAGGCATTGTACTTCCCGTTTCCAGGGCTCAAGTCCGGTTATATAAAATAACTGGTTTCCCTGAATCCCTTCACTAAATATTACCCTGCTCACACTCCAACAGCTCGTCAGGTCCCAAATACCATTCGTCTCCATTCACTCCTATCTAACAAGCTCACGTACGCTTGCTGGAAGTCCAAACCCCTTGCCCACAACACCTTTACCCCTCCCTCCAACCTTTTCGAGGACGGCCCCTACCCCACCTTCCTTCCCCTACAGATTTATATGCTCTCCATGTCATTCTACTTTGATCCATTCTCTCTAAATGACCAAACCACCTCAACAAACCCTCTAAAGCCCTCTGACTAATACTTTTATTAACTCCACACCTTCTCCTAATTTCCACACTCCAAATTTTCTGCATAATATTTACACCACACATTGCCCTTAGACAGGATGCGGCATGCAAAGAGTACGTAACCTTTATTCGGCGCATGTACACACCCTCACTGAAAGGCTATCTCCCCCAACCAGCAAACCAGGTATTAAGGGTTGATGATGGGGCCCAGTCGTTCAATCAGTACCCAGGTTCCAGCCAATGAGAAGATGGTTTTGGCAATCGCTGGGGTGATGTGGGTTCCTCTCACGTCTGCCCTTGTCATTTCCATTCTAGAGTTGGTTGAAACACGATCTGCTCTCTAGTGGCTTCTATTCTGCCTTGCTTACTGTGGAGTGTACTAATACCTATTGTTGTACATAGTGTATATAGTGTACATACTTCTGTTACAAATTGGTGAAGGATAATACACATCAAAAGTTTTTCTGCTGTTTATTTTGCTCCCTTTACACCCAGGATAACAGGCCTTTGGGACTCCTGGGTTGTAATACAGGACATGTCCACTGCCTCCAACTGCTGCCTCGCTGCAGCATTTACAACCCAAGCTTCACACCCATATAAGAGTGTTGGTACTACTATACTTTCATACATTCCCTTCTTTGCCTCCATAGATAACATTTTTTAGCCTCCACCTATACCTCATGACAAACCACTCGACTTTTTTTCCCTTCATCAGTTTCTATGAATTTACCATCATCCTTCTATAAATCCATCCGCTGACATGTCAACTCCCAAATATCCTGAAAACATTCGCTTCTCCATACTCCCTCCCCAATTTGATATTAAGAACATAAGAATGAGTAAACACTGCAGAAGGCCTACTGGCCCATACGAGGCAGGTCCTTATCAAAACGACATCTACACTAAATTTAGCTACTCAGAAACAACTCCCTCACCTCCCCAACAACCAATCAAATCCCAGCCCTCCACTCATATATTTGGTCCCAGTCTCTTCTTAAAGCTACCTAAGGTCCTAGCCTCTATCACCGCCCACGGGAAGACTGTTCCATCGGGCGACTTGCGCATCTACACTCTGTTTAGAAAAACCAGTACTTACCTATGTCCTTACTAAATCTAAATTTATCCAACATTAAATCCCATTTATTCATGTTTTCTTACTGGTTCGACACCCCTGTACTTTTATTAATTCTCCCTTGTTTATGCCCAGTCATCCCACTTATATACACTTCAATGATATCTCCCTCATTCTACGTATTCTAACGCCCTCCAGAGAGTGGAGATCTAAGGCTTTTAAGTCTATCTTCATACGGAGGTTTCCTTACACAGTAAATCATTTTAGTCATCTTCTCAGTATGTTCTCTAATGAGTCATGTCCATTCCTGTTAGTAAGGGGACCAAACTGAGCAGCAATAATCTAAATGAGGGCCTCACTAGTGATGATAGAGCTGTTAAAAATAAACTTTTTTTTGCAACTCCTAGGGGTTACTTGAGTGAATACTGTCGATGGAGAAAAACTCCAATTAATCTGTTGGCCTTCTAGCGCACACTGAGGGCACTGCTGTCTGGCTTTAGATTTCCTGCTTACCATGACTCCCAAGTCCTTTTCACAATTCGCATGAACCAAGCTCTACTTCACCCTTGATAATAGCTCGAGGGTTATTTTCATTACAAGGGCAAGTACCCTTACCACTTTTCCACATTAAACTTCATCTGCCATTCTCAGACCAAGACATTAATTTGTTAAATCGTCCCCTGGAGTTCCAATTGAATCCTCCTCAAGGAATTATACGGCCTATCTTTGTATCATCAGCAAAACTTACTCATTCACTAGTAATCCCTTCATCAAAGGTCATTAATGTAAATTATGAACAAGAGAAGGTCCTAAAACTGATCCTTGTGGAACGCCACTAGTGACTAATCCCCATTCAAATTCACTCCATTAATTAACTCACTGCCTTTCTATTGGTAAGCCTGCCTCAAATTCCATGCTAGAACTTTACCTCTATACCATGAGCAGGCCCACTTTTTCTTAAGACTCTGTGAGGGGACTCTGTCGAAGGCTTTAACTAAAATCCAAATAAAACAATTGCATGGCATATTCCTTATCACTGTCAACTGCCTCAAATGTTTCTATTGAAGAACGTCAGTAATTTGTCAGGCAGGAACGACCTCTTCGTGAATCCATGCTGAGATTCCCATTTATCAAGTTATGCTTTCACGGTGACTTCTGATAATGTCAGCTATAATTGATTCTAAAAAACTTGCCACTATAGATTCATGCTATTGGACGTAATTTATCTAAATCATTGATACCCATCAATCACCTAATCTTTTCTATGTTCATTATCAAAACTTCTACTTACACTACCCCCAAATTCGTCCACTAACCTTTGGCAGTTTTTCTTCATAATCTTCCATAAGCACAGTATCATAGCAAAAAGGTAACTGTGGTCTCCACTTCCCATTTTGTATTTTAATTCCCCATAATTTAATCCACCCCTCTCCTGAACTACCCTAGCTTTACTTCATTTACAACCCCAATCTATAAATATATTAAACAACCATGGCGACATTACACATCCCTGTCTAAGACCTACTTTTACCAGGCGATAGTCTCCCTCCCTTCTACACACCCTAACCTGAGCCTCGCTATCCTCATTAAAAACTCTTTACAGCATTTAGTAAACTTACCACCTGTTTGCCATATACTTGCAAATCTGCCACATTGCTCCTCTATCCACTCTATCATATGCCTTTCTAAATCCATCAATACAATAAAAACTTCCCTACATTTAATCAAATACTGTTTACACTTATATGCTTCAATGTGAACACTTGATCTACACATCCCCTACCCACTCTCTAAACCTTCCATTGCTCAACCGCATTCTAACATTCTCTTACCTCTAATTCTTTCAATAATGACTCTAACAGTACACTTTTCCTGGAATACATCATAAACCTTAATTCCTCTATAATTTTTACAAATCTCTTTGTCCCCCTTCCCTTTATATAAAGGGAACTATATAACGTTCTCCGCCAATCCCTAGGTTACCTTCTCCCTCTTCATATATACGTTTCTTAAACAAAAATACCACCACTCCATACTGTCCCCCCCTGCTTTTAACATTTCTTGTCATGAAACCCATCAGTTCCAGCTGCTTAAAACCCCCTTTCATTCTAACGTATGCTTTCACGCCCTCCCCCACACTCGCATCCTGCTCTTCTTTTCACTCCTAAAGTATGGTATACCTCCCTGGCCAGTGGTGTCATGAAATTACCGCCTCCCTTACTTTCGTCGACATTTTAAAATTTTCTCCAAAATATACTCGCCATCTACCCAATACCTCCATCTCCCCATCTACTACCCGGGGGGGGGGGGGGGGGGGGGGGGGGGGGGGGGGGGGGGGGGGGGGGGGGGGGGGGGGGGGGGGGGGGGGGCCCACTC